TGTTAATTATATATTGCAATGACTACATTCTAAAACATAAAAAAGTCAGTAAAGTTTGCAGTGTTGACAATTTTTGCAGCAGGTTGACAGTTTTAGGAGCTGCTTGAGGAGAACTTCCTCATTCTCCTCCTCATCCTCTTCTTTGAAAAAGAGATCAAAGATCTACATCCATCCATAAGCTTTCTGTATACAGGTCAAACATTTTTATTTAAATAGGAGTATACTACATGATCTTATTAAAGTTACAGTTTAGTGTTCTTAGGACTGAAGACTTTCTGAGGAAAGAAGTTTTTAAACATCTTTTCTAATAATTTTAGTGTTTTCAACTGAGGGGCTTTGGTATATTTATTTAAAATAAATTATAGCAGAGGAAGTTCTCTGCACAGAAAATAAATACTGTTTTTTTAACCAAACTGACAAGTTTCTCCAGTAAAATGATTGTGTAATTTAAAGGCATTGAAACACCTGGTTAAATTTAGAAGGTATGATTAACTACAAACATCTGAAGCTGACTCAGAGAACTCTGTGATTTTAGAAAAAATAAAAATCAAATGTAGACACGTCTTTAGGAGATCCTCCTCCTCCTCCTCACGCCGCGCAGCTGCAGTCAGTGCACCTCTTCTCCATCCATGTGATTAACACTGTTTTTTTGCACAAATTGCAGATTTTTCATGCTCGTTAAACGTCTGAAGGGGCTGACGTGTGAACTCTTCAGTCCCGGGCCGGGCAGGTCGGAGCCGAGCTGCAGGTGGACGGTGCAGCTGTAAAGTCGCTGCCTCTCGCTTTAAAAACAGTCAGCTGATCAGTCGCGGTTTTGTTGCGCTCGTGACTTGAACACACAGGGGAAATGCTGCGAAGTGCTTTTAGAAATATAATAATTTAAAATATGACGTAATCCTCGGTGGAAAATAGTCCAGGAAACGTGTGCGTTCCTGGGAGGTGTTCCCCTGAGCTGAGTGAAGCTGACCCCCCCACCCACAGAGAAAGGGAAAAAATGGCAGTAATTATTGATAAGGTAACCATGCTGTGGCTTCACCTGTCGCATTTTMYTTTAAAGAAAGAAAAAGTAGCTTGCAAAGCTGTCGCATCGGTGCAACGTGATTAAAAGCAGAGCTGCGCGTCTAATCACACACACGTCTTCCTATCTTTGTGAGGACCACACACAGCGCTCAGCCTCACTCTGCGCCGTCTTCCCCCCCAAGTTTGGTGAGAGGTGGATATGGAGGGACGTAAAAAATAGCTCTCGACTTAATCTGGCCTTATTTAAATAAAAATGACTACATGCC